TCGCTAAATATCAGCTAACTATTTGAAGAATATGTAAGTAAAAGCAAATGCGTCGGCAAACTATCACATAAATTCTATGCCTACATAATGTTATTACATACTCCATACTACCTAAGGGCAATGCCAGCCAAAAGATGTCCACTGCCGAACATAGGCCTCCCTCAATTTTGGCAGCATAACCGGTCCTGTCTTGCCTGTATCCAACGGTTTAACCAAGCTTACCCACGCTACTTTGTACTTTTCGACACCTAAGTACTGGGTCTACCAATAGGGATGACCTGATTTTGACAGCTCATAGCGGCCATGTTTGATGATGGGTCTTTGACGTCTCTTGATATTTGTGTTCAGTAAGGTTTGCCATTTTATCATGTCACGTTTCACTTTAAACCAACGCTTGGAAATTGTCCAAAATTATTACGCAAATTCGCGTTCTCCTACCGCTACAGTAAGAGCGCGCAAAAAACGGTCGTCATAGTGCTCCTTCTGTGCGCGCTATAAATCGCATAATAACAAAATTTGGAAGTGAATTCACTCTCCACGATATTGCTGTGCCTGTGAGATAAAGAAATGCCGGTAGTGAAGAGAATATCGTAGCCGTTCAGGCCAGTGTTGATGCGAATTCAAATCGACCAGTTCAACGCCGTTCACAAGAGTTGGGGCTTTCTCCAATGACCACCTGGCGTATTTTGCGGTTAGATTTGGGCCTACACCCATACAAAATTGTTCTGGCACAAGAATTGAAGCCATCCGACCATTGTATCCATCGTGAATTTGCCGATTATGCACTGGAAATGATGGAAACCGATGACGATTTTCATCGTAAAATCATCTTCTCAGATGAGGCCCATTTCTGGCTCAATGGATTTGTTAATAAACAAAATTGTCGCTATTGGAGTGAGTCAAATCCACGTGTGGTTCATGAATCACCATTGCATCCGCAAAAAATAACAGTTTGGTGCGGTTTATGGTACGGTGGAATCATTGGTCCGTACTTCTTTGAAAGTGACGAAGGAAACCCTGTTACTGTGAATGGCGAGCGCTATAACTCGATATTAACCGAATATTTCTTTCCGGAATTTGATGATATTGATGCAGACGATCTTTATTTTCAACAAAACGGTGCACCACCTCACATTACTCGAGTGAACATGGAATTATTGCGTGGAAAGTTTGGTGAGTCGTTAATTTCGAGAAATGGACCGATCAGTTGGCCACCAAGATCGTGTGATTTAACACCTTTAGACTATTTTCTTTGGGGTTACGTTAAATCTAAAGTGTACAGCAATAATCCAGCTATAATTCGTGACTTAAAAACCAACATTCGACGAGCCATAGGCGACATACCGGCCGATATGGTGCACCGCGTCATCGAAAATTGGCGAGAGCGGGTGACCGTCTGCAAAAAGAGCCGCGGCGGTCATTTGGCCGATATATTATTTAAAACATAAATTGCATTAAATTATCTATCAAATAAATCAATAGGATGCATTTTTCATAAAAAAATGTGTTTTATTCAATTTTTAAACCAGGACGTTCTTATTGGTAGACCCTTTCTACATTTAATAACTGATATATTGGTAAAACAGTACAGGCAGGTAAACTCCATTCCTAAAATTAATGGAATTACATGAAATATATTTGACGTGAAATATTGTGAATGGAGATGAGCGAAGGTCGAAAAAGGGATTCAGAGTGGTTCGTGTGTTTCTAATAACTATAAATAGTACCTAAGTAGAGCGCTGTTGTGACGAGCAATCTTCGATGCACGTAAAATACATTGCAATAACATGAATTTTAACCTTACGAAGCTGAAGAATTTGTTTATTAATTGGCACGCTAAAAGGTAACGTTAATCTCAAGTTTAGTAGTCTGATTTTTATAAACTTTTACCTTTTTTAAAATTAAAACTTGATACATCTTACACAAAGCCAGATCTGATGATCCTAAACTCAGATATGAGCTTACTTACACTATATTAACCAGTCTTCTGATAAATATACCTATATAACTTTATAAATACATACATTATATAGATAAATTACACCCAGATACAGTACATTTGTACCAGTCAATTGCGTTACATAGCTTTTTATTGTGGAGTGACTAGTTTTGTAATTCATCTGTTTTATTATTACATGTGACTTTGTTCTTGCTCCACTAGACTTGACTCCATCAACAACACGCTACATTGATTCAACTCGTCTTAATTCCAACCCGTGATTTACAACTTGTTAATAATACTGCAGCTTTAAAGCGTACATAAATCAAGATCTGAACTGTAGCTTAAACGAAAATATTGATTGTAATGCTTCGGTTTACGTGGTTCGATGTTTGTGTGTATCATTTTTGCTCAAAGTACACAAATTTATGACGTAGCGATTAATCGGCCCTTACTCTCAAAATTTCAAGTAAATATTGATGTATTATTGATCCTTTCGATCGAATGAGGGAGAAAGTAGGCTACAGCAGACGTCTTTTCAGACTGGACCTAATCGAGTTAGTAGGAACTGCACTCTACAGTACGCTATTAGATATCATTACTAGTTTAATCCTATTTTTCTCTGAGATTTTAAATTTGTGCACGTTATCAACCGGACCATGTCATCGTATGCTTCATATAACCTGTCAGTTAGGAAAGTACGAGTGTGAACGTTTAACAAAGAAGTGAAATTTAACACATAACATTCTTAGCATCATTAGGCTAATTGATTGTTGATGAGGCGACTGGTGAGCAGGTATCACGCGTTGTAGTCATTACTGCAATAATATATAGGAGTAATAAATACAATTTGAACACGGTTAGGAGTAAAGAATTACTTTTGAGAATATATATCCGTGGCGGACGAATTAGTAACGCAGCTCGCACAGGTGTAATTTGTGCACTGATGATCCGTCTTATTGGTCATTTAAATTTCTATAAAAACATAATAACACTTTTAGATTCTTAATACCTTCATTAAAAATTAGAATTCAATTAGTTTACGAGCATAGGAAATCACTCACAATCACACAAGAAAGTTAATTAATAAATAATTAAAATATGAATTAATTTCTACCTTTCATTATCAACGTATTAGCAACTGGAGTGTATAATTGCACCTATCCATCCTATGGTTGACTGTAAAAGATCGCCTGATGCTACATAGCCCCTTACTTGGCTACCCAGAAAAATATAAACCCTAATAATTAAAGCTTACAGTAGCGACTACACAAATAATTGTTTACATTTATTACTAAGTATTAGAATTTAAAGTATGAAAATAGCTTTATGTCACGTACACGTGTCTTTTTGTAGCAGAATATATTTGCGTGATGAAGCAAAGCGGTAAACTTTCATCCTCCACCCGTCTTCATCCGGGGCAAAGCGTTTTGAAAATACAGAGTTTATATTGCGAGCAGTTTTTGCTGCGTTAGTCCCACGACAGTGATCGTACTCGAATATGAATTTGGGATGTATCTACATTCTACTTTCATAGCTGAGTACAAATATTTTTATGACATAGGCGGCAAATCATCAGACGAATCTCCTAATTTAAAGTGATTACCGACGTCCAAGAACGTCTGCAACTTTAATTATAATAATATTAATATTTGAGATATGTGACACACACGTCTGCTCGTTTGCCCCCTATTCCATAAAATAAAACAAGTTTAAAATCTAGTTTCATCCATCCATCTAATTTCAAACTAAGCAGAACTTGAACTATGAAAGTTAGATTGACTGATAGAATACTTTTATACTTCTTTTTGTATGTAATTAAACATAGAACTCTGAAACAAATACTTGCAGATCATACAAACCCTAGGTCCGACGCATACGCTACCACTGCACCACCAGGCAGTCAACCAGTGGCGGATTTACATACTAGTATTTGCCACCACTAGGCTTTTAAATTTTTGTCTTTTACGTGTGGTAACCCCCCTCGGGCCGTCACCTTACCTGGGTTTTTATCTTATCGAGGGTGCATGTTTTTATAAATAGGTAATGTTATATTTTATTTATTGTGTTAGCCATGCTCCATAGTTTTATAGTACGTCAATTTCTACAATACTTTTAGAAACTTTTTCTTATGCAAAATTGGTTTTTAGAGCACTCCGTATATTATATTCCAGATAATTATTTAATATCAATTTTTTGTTATAGATAGGTAGTTCATTGTATGTGATTTTTTTGTGATATCAAGAATGGGAGATGTGGAAGCGCGGAACTTATAGCAAGTAATATTTCTGCTACGATTAATTCGATACTAAACTAAACCAACTAAACTATTCATCAAAGAACATCGTGTTCAACAAATTAATCTGCCTCTAATCTTGTTCTTTACAGTGAATAAGATTGTGTGATTATCGCATCACCTACAGAACGAAGAACACAGTGAAAAATACAATTTCATACATGTTTATTTATATGTACCTATACAAAATATGATAGTCATTTCTATGATTATAATGTTGCAATTTCCAGTCTCTTGCTACGTCGCAAGACGTGGATAGACATTGTATAGTTGATTTACTTAACGACTTATGAATATGGAATGACTGGGAAGAAATTCAGATTTTGAATTCATCACAAGAATACATCAAAGTACATCAAATTATTGTTGTACGGCACTAAATAAAATGAGTTAGCATTGATTGGCATTATTAATTTGTACTCAATTTTTACATTATAACCACAATTTTAAAGCACTTCTATGAGTAGGTATTGTTTACAATAAGATAAAAAATGTTTGGCGATGCTCTCCTATTGCTGACAAGGGTGGGTCGAGCGTCAGTGTCACGATTGTTTATAGGGCTCAGCACCATTCATCTTATTAAATACGGGTTGTTAGCTTCGTTGTAAGGTGAATTATATAAATATGTCCCACGCTTAAGTATCTTAAAAATCTAATAGTCCAGAATCAGATATCAGTGTAGCCCTTACTATTTGCGTGGAATACGTATATTGGTTAACAAGGTAGGTCATAAGTAAAGCTCGTAATAGTTGGTAAGGTGGAACAATGATACGAGAGCAAGCAGTAGACGTGCGTCGTGCGGTGGTGCCGCGTACGCCCGCGCCGCCGGTGCCTGTGCGAGGTGAGCTCCGGGGTCACTGCTCTGACCTGCGCGTGGGCGCGCCCGTTTCCGTCCGCGAAACCGAATCATTGCGCCCCACACTCCTAATTTTTAACGATATACCACATCCACATACAACACAGTCCACAACACTTGATGTTATGTCTTTATGGCGGAAATAGAAAACGTGAATTCAACGCACGAGTTTTATAAAAAAAGATGTTTAAAGGTAAAGTCACTAGTCAAGGTAAAAGTTGTCAATTAGGTTCTCGTTTGATTTTCAAATATGTTCTTTTTTAAAAAACATTTTACATGTGTTCGTCATCGTCATCTTCCTACCCTTTCCCAAAATTTATTTGGGGTCGGTGGAATGAGTTTTCTTCTTTTATTCTCCTTGATCACTCGACATCCTCTTTCAGGAACTTCTTTATTTAATTGTGAAATGGTTTTGGCTTTTTATTCTTTGACCGGTCGCTTGACTGACAATCCTCCTTGGTGATGTACGAGTAATTGTTCTTCGTACATAGTATGAAGCAAAAGATATTTGGAAATTTCAAAGACACAGGGTTTTTACTATTTTCATATAGGCTACTACTTTGCAAGAAATGCATGTTGTATTAATTTGTAAAACCATAGTAGTAAGGTCATATGACGATGAACTTAATATCGAGTGCAAATTAAAAAAAAACACTCTTTTTAGTATAAGAGTTGGTCCATGCTGAGAATATTCATGTAATAACTAAACGAATTTCGAGAGAATAGAACCATTTTATATGTCTAACATAAGATTTCGAAATTTTTCAAAACTATCTGTTAGTTCTTAAAATACTTCCCTTTGAATGTACTAAATAGTTAAAAAAATATAGCCTTTTTTTTTGCTATAACAGCTATACAGTGACAGATAACATGTGGCCGTAATTAACTGTATGAGATGTTTAAGAGGCCACCAAACCTTACATCAGTCCAAAAGATTTTTCCGGTTTCATTGTTACTTAGTACGTGCATTGTTCGCAGCACTATCGCTACAATTAATAGTTTAAAACAATTGCGTTTACAAAAGCACCGTTAGTTCACTCTATCTGCGTCAAGAGAGCCCCGTGCCGAAATATGTTTATCGACCATCACCGGATCGAATACTTGAAAGTCCTACGACATCGCTAGACAACTGTGGAGACAGCTTTCATTAAGTTACATACTATGTATGGATGTTTAAAAAGACCCTAATTTTATTTGATAAATTCTAGAGTTTATTGTAAATCAGTAGATTTCCAATAATTACAATACAATTTTAGTAAAATGATAATTTATTTATTATTCACAATATTATGTTATAATAATAAGATTAAGAAAAAAATAATCTTGATACAGTTAGTTGAATCTATGCACAATAATAATCATCGTCATGTCGGATGTCTGCATGGCGGAACTTTAACTATGATTGCGCCATAAACGCACATACTGAATACCTTAAACGAATAAATTCAATTTCAAAGCAGTTTTAGATGTCATTATTAACCATTTTCGTAAAATCTTTTGTCGTGTATATCACGTGTAGTATCAAAAACAATAATTTTGTTTTGCATTATCTTGTGGTTCTCACACTAAAAACACACAGTAAGATTGGAAGCTTTAACCATAGGTCCTACTATTGTACTGTCAAAACTGCCGGAGGAAAAGTAAGAAGTTTTGCTAAGGGAGAGAGTGTTTACATGTTCACAATTTTGATGTTCTACTCTAGAAATGCCACGAATGGTGATTTGGCCGAATATCGAATATTCGGCAAGTTTCTTGGCTGACACGCCGAGTACACACGCCGAGTAAACCTGAATCAGTAAAATATTTAGCTAACGCAAATTCTGTTAGGTTAGGATCCTAACAGAATTGGAAGCTGTATATATACAGTGAACGGCTACTTTTCGGAACAGGTATTTATGGTTACAGCGCCCTCGTTTCCTGTCAATAAATTATTTTAAGTATTAATATTATATTATTCTCATACATAATGACAGAACCGCAGCTCACTGCGAACTGCCACCCATTACTTATAACGGCGTAGTCATTCCATTAAGTCTCTCTGTTAATGCCTATTTATCGACTTCAAGCTCAGCTGGCAAACCCAGGTCACCAGCATCAGCCAGAGAGTCACAGGTACGCTACGGGCCTTCTATCTGCTTAAAAACTTCCTTTCTTCCGAGACAAAAGCGATGCTAGTACAGACCCTTATTTTCCTGTATCATGACTTGAATGCAGATCTCTTCAATAAATATAAACGCCTTCTGAATAACTGCATTCGATTTGTCTTTAACCTTCGCAAATACGACCATGTTTCCTCCTCTGGTCGCGAATTAAGCTGTACGCCCTCACCACTCTCTATTCCATACTCAACTCACCTATTTAACCTTCCTACCTGGCACCTTCATTTCAATTTCTATGTTCCAATCACAACAGAACCCTCCGTTCCTTAAACAATCCACTTCTGTTATGCCCACTAATACTTCCGCATGTGTTCACTTTTCGTTCTTAATCTAATATTTCCTCCTCTGGAACGCTCTACCTCTAGAATCAGGATAGCACATAGCTGCCTCTCATTTAAGACGAAAGTCCGAGCTCGAATTCTCGACAGTAGCATATTCATCACATCTCTAAAAAAAACAATAGGAAAAAAACACCCAAAGGTAGACTGGAAGAAAATGCCTGTGCCTGTGCATTAAGCCCGCCATTGTACAATGAAAGTGGCCGAATATTTGTGGTACTCTAGTCAATAAAAAACCCTAGCACCTGTTTTAATTTAAGAACAGAAATAATTAAGTAATGCTATAGTATCATAATTATTTTTAGATCGTAAACCTAGGATTAATTACAAAACTAGATAGATAGTATGCATCCGTTGGTAATGTAATAAATAAATTATAGTAAAGTCGCTTTCCATATTACTGTATCTGAACCAGATAATAAAAAGCACATTTGCATACACATGTAGGAATCACAATGCCCGATTTAATTACAGCTTATTTTTTATATGAATTAATAGCAGGTCCAAATGTGAATGGGCCATCTAGACAGACCTGTTTAATGTATTGTTTTGAGTTTCTCGTATTTTTATTTATCTTTGAATGCGTGACTTGGCCATATGTATCAACTTTAATCAATGACATTAATCATAAATAGGGTGACATATTTATCAGTTGGCTGTAAGTTCATGTTTGATTTGTTGCGTTAATTCGCCTTGATCCCTGTAGCAATTATCGTCCTTATCAATTACGACAGCATTGTTTTATACCTCTAAGGTAATGTAAAAGCTAATGACTCGTCGGAACTAAGTATCTTATATCTACCTAGGCATTACCTTAAATCATGAATGTGCAAGTGACGTCGTTTATTAATTCCTTTCACTCCTTTAATTAGTCTTCTATCCCAAAATAAAGTACTGTTTCCGAGATATATGTACATATATTAAATTATAAAACATAAATTTACTTGAGTAAAGACAAATGAAAAAGCTGATAACAAATAAACTGAAAGAGAGAAACTATAAATATTAGTAGGTATGTAGGTAGGTATCATTAAAGTGAATAGCGTTGACTGGTACACAGGTACATATTAATGTTTTCATGTAACAAACCCGATACAAACTAGTCTTATCTTGTCATAATATACATATGTATATTCTTCATAATAATAAATCTAAAGTGAACTTTCATAAATGCTTTCGTGGTAAGCGTTTACACTCCAATATTTTTTTGGCACCAGCCATTGTATGCAAATGAAGTAATGAATGTTTTCACTGCAACAAAACAAGAATAACGGTTCCCTTAAGTGAAGATTTGTCGGCCAATAATAATTATAACCGACTTGTAACAACTCTACGCACGTGTTGATAGCTATATAGTCACCACCTAAATGCTTTGACTGTATTTTTGTGCTCATTTTGATTAACAATTTAAGTATCTATTATTTCTTTTTACTACGTCTAACCGGTTGCACTTCTAACTATATAAACAAATCTAAGATGACTATTATAACGCACTTCTAATTCTGGTATTAAAATTAAACACAGTATGTATGTATAGTTATAGATAACATTATTTAGCAATATTCGGCATCTGAGAGCTGATGTGATGGAGCCAAGAATTGATTGAGCACCAAATTCTTAAGTATAAATTAACTGTACAATTTCTATATATAAGTATGTTTGTTGCTTGCTTGCTCGCTATTATCTAATTGCGATTAAATTGTAGCTGGTACAATATGGGCGTTTAATATTTAATAAATAATTTTCAGAAAATAATCACAACCACTTAAAAAATGTTTTAATTTCACATCATCACATCCACAGCCTTTATTAGTCCACTGCTCGACATAGGCCTCTCCTTAGAAAGGAGGTTTTAGCCTACTATACTTCGCTGGCCAGACGGGTTGGAATAGGGTTTGTTTCAAGTTTTTCTTCTCTTTGCAGTGCTGTAGTTCTGCGTAGTTTGCTCCCTTAGTCGGCTCTTACGATACCCTTAATCCGTTTACATAAAAATTTATATAAATATATAATTTAATTTATATATATGTGTTAAAATACGAAGTCTATAAATACATATTTTGACTATAAATGCCGCAAAGCAGGCCCATGACAGGGTGCTGAAAGACCATGAAAACTTGGTGATAAAAGGTTGAAAAACTGATTCTTTAATCGAATCACATACCCTGTCATTGAACTTTCGCATAGCTATTGTTTTTATTCCTAAAATTACTCAGTACTTTACTTATGCATTACAATCACGTTCCCATCAGTTGATCGTTGACTTGAGATGTAACTATACCTTTAAGATACTTAGTTACAGTTTGACTATCTATGGACCAGTGCTTAGAGTACCCATACCGCATTGTAAGTCATATCGCAGTTTCATCGGGGATTCTTTGAAATCTGTTGATGCGATAACGCGGCAGAAATCATAATTTCGTCAACTGAAAGTGATGTGGGGCTACAGATGCCAAGCATTCACTTTTGTTTGGACAACACGGGAAGCCAAGTTCTCAGTGTTCCATGATTACAATAACTGGTTTTGGATCAGTCATTTGGATTGGGTTAGGTGAATATTAAAACGTAATATGTAAATATATTTCAATAAAATATTTTTTATGACTATTCCTTCGATCATTTTCAGTAAGTAGACTTTCAGTAAGTATTTTA